TATATATATATATATATTTCTAGTTATACAATCATCCCCTTGAGCTTATATGATTCACGATTACTTTACTGTCAGAGTTTAGAACATTTTCAAATTTACCACTCAATATGTTTATTATCTATTATGCGGATAGAATGAGGTACATGGGAGTGTTTTCTTTTCATCTTAACCTGTGATCAGCCCTCCAACAACTGCCGTTCCGATGGAAGAACCTAGAGCAGCTGCCTGCATGGCCATGGTAGACCTAGGAAGACAAAAGAAAAGAAGAATGTTGTTTTTCCAGGCTACCAACTAGCAAATCTCATTTCCTGAGGGAATGGATGCTAGCCATCTTCAGGCCAGAGGGCAGCATTACACCAGCAAACAAATGTTTGTTACAATTTTTTTTTATTTCCTATTTTCATTTTCTTTGAAATTCTTGAGCAATGTTAAAAAGTCCTTATAAGCACATAAGAAAAATTACCTTTCCCTTTAGGAGGGATGAAAAGATCTAACTTAGAAAGAGTTTAATATTTTCTAAAAATATAGTACCAGGTTTTGATCCTCAATCCAATTCATTCAACAAATATTTATTGAGTACTCACTCTGTGCCACATTCTCTTTTAAGCACTGAGGATGGAATAATGTACAACATGAGTTTCCATCTTTCCCCACCCCATCCCAAAAGAAACAATTGTAATTAAATTTAAAAAATCAATAATCAGGGGCTCCTGGGTGGCTCAGTGGGTTAAGATCTAACTCTTGGTTTCAGCTCAGGTAATGATCTCATGGTTGGTGAGTTGGAATCCCTCATTCGGCTCAGTGCTGACATCAAGGAGCCTGCCTAGGAGTCTCTCTTTCCTTCTATCTCTGTGCTTCCCCTTCTCTTTCTCTCTCTCTTTCTCTCTCCCTCCCTCCCTCAAAATAAATAAACTAAAAAAGAAGTTTGAAAAAAATCAATAAAATCAGAAAAGTTAATTTTAGCATATATCATAGAGACAACTCATTGAATACAGCAAAAAAAAAAAAAAAACTCTGTAAGTCATCTTAGATGTAGTTACCTTAAAACAAAATTAGTAAAAAAAAAATACCTCATAATATTTGGGAATGGAAGAATGTAATAAAAAGCTATTGAAGTGCATAAGGTTGTTATATGAGTGACAAAAGGACGAGGAGTGTGAATATCCTTTTAGCACAGTACCTCACTCTTAGCAGGAAATTCATAAATAGCTGTTGAAGGACTGAATGAGTGTTTATGGGAAAGTAAACATTTGGAAAATGAGAGTATCTTGGTGTTTCATCATCATCCA